GTTATGTTGCCTGGGAGTCCGGTGGAAAGGCATTTGGACTCTAATAGAATGTCTTCTTTACGTTGCTAGTTTGCTTGTTTCGGCAAAATTTTAGTTGTTATTATTAAGCGTTTGTTTGGGGAATGTCCATGTACTTTTCTTGCTAAGTTTTTGCCTTTAGAGGACTTATGTGCCAACTGGCTCTCTCCCTATAAAGGATTCGTCCTTGCCGCGTTCCGGTGTAAACCAAAATGCTTGACCATGTTGAACGAAACAAAAACTTAGATGAAAAAAAAAGGCCTGGTGTTAACAAGTTTAGTTATTCATTTGGCGAAATTTAGTGATTAGTATGATCAGAATCATAAGAGAATCAAATTAGAATATATTTTGACTGTAGCCTTTGATCACGCGTCCACGTCGAGATCGACAAGCTGTATATGTTGTGCGTACATTGTGGTCTACTGCAACTTGTTTAATTTTATGATTCATTTCATATTTCTTTTCCAATGCCAATACAAATATAAAGTTTGTAGAGTACAAGTTATGGGTCTCTTTTAACTTGCAATGGATAAGAAATATATTTGTGTAGGAATATAAAAAGGGTTTCACACTCAATCTTATATTTTAGTTTTGGAATCTTTTTAAGTTTTTCTTTAGAAAATTTCCAAGTTTTAATAGTGTGATAATATCCGAGAGAAAATTTAAGAGAAATAATACTCTTTTAAACCCCGTAGGATTTTTTCTCTAAAATAGCGACAAAACCAGTACCACCTCCCTTGGTCTTTGCTTCGGCCTGTGTTCGGAGGTCATCTCCGGCACTGTCTCTTTCGTTTTTGCTTAGTCTTCTCCTCGGCTCCCTGTCTGGTTTTTCGCTCCTTGATAAATTCGTTTTTGATGTCGGTGGAGATCTCAGATCTGGATCGGGATTTGGGTCCTGGTTGGTTGGAAGCGTCGTTTCAGTTGTGGTCTGTGGTTTGGGCGTCTCCGAACGCAACCGGTGAAGACCCTGGCGTGTTAGTTCCAGATCTGTCGGAGGAGTTCCCTTAACCTTTCGACGATGCTTGATTCTGTCCTTATCGTCTCCATTTCAATTTTCCAATTTGTTAGATCTAGGTTAGCGAAGTCCAGTTTAGGCTTTGGTTTCCCTATCTTTGGGCTCAATTTCCTCCTCCTCTTTAAGATTCTTGATTCTTGTTGATGATAGAGCTTTGGGCTAGGGTTTCTATCCCTCTTGGTTTTATGTAGTTTGTAATATGCGTAGTTCTTAGATTATCATTCTGGCTTGTTTGTTGGTTTGCAATCTGCAATTCACTTTTGTTCTTGGGGATTTAGAGGATGCTTTTCTGAAGCTATTTATTTGAGAACAAAATTGTCAAAGGATACGTATTTTCTACTAGATATTTGTAGTGTGTTATCGTCAAAAGTGTTTGAAGCCCGTCTTCGATGAAAGTTGTGCGGGAATACCATTTGTCGATTGGTTCTAGACTCGGTACAAGACCGCTAAAGTGTCGTCAAAGAAATTCGCTTTCATTACTATGTCAATGCGGGAATGGCCTTTGGTTTTTCTTTGTGTTTATTTGTTGTTCTCCTTTTATGTTGTAATCCTATTCCTAAATCAATAAACTTCCAGAGATAAAAAAAAAATATATAGTGTGATAATATCCGCTTGATTTGTCTATGTATATGAGAATATCATACGAAAGTAGTACAACTGTAACAACTAACCAGTACTCCTAACTACAATACACCTAACTACAGTATATACAAGTAATTTAAACTAGTACTCCTGTTTGTAAACAAGTACAGTATATAAAATTTCTCTAAATAATGTTTAAAGTTTTACACACCAACTAAATAATTATTTAATGTTTCTTTTTTTATGAACTAAAACATTAATTATTATCTATTTTAAACACAATTTAACCAATAGAAAAATAATATGTATAACTCAAACAGTGAAAACAAAAAAAAATACATAAATACAAGATATAAAACGTGGGTAACAGATTCACAATACATTGAAAAAGTATTGTATTAATCCCATATTTCCCGTCAACATTATCATGTTCAGAAGCCATCATACGGAAGCCATCTGTTTAGTTATTCTTAGATGAGAGAAATAACATTTATTCTTAGATTAAGTTATATACACCAATATTTATAACTGGTTCTTCGGTTTTAATTTTTTTTTGCTAGTTCGAAATGATAATATGAAATTTTTAAAATTAACTAATACATTATTAATATGTGATTGTATAATGAATGTTAAGTGCTTTCATTTTAAAAATTAAACAGCAACTATTTCCAACTAACTAAGAATTTTTGTGTATATCTAAATTTAAATAGTACATCCATTAAATATATTTATGAGAAATTATGTCAATATCATATTTAAATAAATTGCTTTAAATACTTTTTCATGACTTAAGATGGTTACACCACAA